CCCCTGCCAGCTCCTTGAGTAGCCCCCGAAGGCGCTGTGCACGAGGCATCTGAAACTTATCTAGCTGGCCCGCCAACTCGCCCAAGAGGTTAGCCACAGAGGCCCGCCACTTCGAACTGGGGTCCGACGTGGTCAAGTAGGGCTTGGACCCCTGATACTCACCAAGACGGGGTTCTCGTACCTGTGCCCGACCAAGGTGCTGCTTGCGTGCCAGCGGGCCCACCTTGTACAACTCCACATAATACAATTAATTCCCTGGTGCTGACCCACTCGGCAAACATAGCTCCCAAGGCCTCCGCCCCCACGTCCGCTGCGCGGAACGCCAGAGATTCGGACGCGAACTCAGGGGCAACGACCGAAGACCTGGAGGGCGCCACTTGCTGCCACAGAAGGTTCTTCATGGCATCGTTCCAATCGCACTGCAAAGGAGCAAAAGTGTCAAGGTCGGGTTCGGGCTCAGAGGCGGCCACCTGCTCAACCTCATCATCAGGAACATCCGTGTCCTCGCCGTCAGTGAAAAACTCGCCCTCGCCCTCCTCCCACAGAGCATACTGCAGAGGGGGGGGCTCTTGATGGACAGCTTGCGCCTGGGCCCCCACTGCGGGGGCGACGGCGTGATGGCTGGCTGCGGACGTGAGGCCCTCCACTCCTCAGCCTCGGCCTTCGCCCTGGACCGCTTGCTCGCCGGGTCCGAATCGATCCTGGACCGAGGTGGGCGCGGAAAGGCTCGAGGAAGGTGTAGCAGCCAGGCCTGTGCCCTGCTCGCCTCAAAGTCCAGCGCGAGTTCCAGACTGTAGCGCGCCTTGCCCGCGTCCTCGATGACCGTGAAATCAGCCATGAGCCCCGCAATCCAGGCAAGCGCCCTTGGCGAGGCCACGACGTAATCCAGCATGCGGCCGCGCCCTAAGGTACAGGTGTACTCCGTATTGCTAGGGGCGACAATGGAGCCATTGACCAGCGCCAACCAGCCCGTCGAAGTGAGCTCCTGGGGCGTCATGTTCCAGTCACCAATCGCGAGCCACGGGCCCTTGATGGTGGGGACCAGCGTGCCCAGGCTAGCCAACTTGGACGCGTTGGCCCTAGGTCCCACCGGTGCCGTCATGTACACTCCAACCAACAACAGAGATTGACCCTGCGCACGTAGGGCCATAGCCACCATATCCTGAAAGGCAATGGCAGGCTGGTCACGGGCTCCATCCAAGTCCCGTAGGCCAACTTGGTCGTGAGGAGAAGAAGCAAGGTGACGAAGAGACTGGGTATGGAATTTCTTAAGCGCCCCCATGGTAATGCCCCCCGCTTTGGCCTTACCCTTCGCCTCGTACGCAGCCGACAAAAAAACGTGTATCCTGCCTTACGCCAATCATGAAGAAGATCCTGGGAACTGGTCGGCAACACATGGGTCTCAGGGAAAATGAGCACGTCAGCCTTTTTTTCCCTACACACCGAGCGTGTCGCAGGTCCCCATCCTCCCAAATTACGCATATACAATGAGCGCCTGGAACCCACGGAACCATCAGCACTCCGTCCTGACAATAGTTTTTTTTTCACGGGCTGCATCGAGCGCCAGTGGGGAAGAGAAACTCGACAAGGTAACCGTCGCCGACGGCGCAATCGAGGACGAGGAGGTTCCCATCCGCGGAGACCTTGGGACGCGCACTCGCTCCTCCTGAGCTCCAGGGATTCCACTCCCCAGGCCATCCCCAAGCGGCAGGGGGGGCAATCCCTGCCAGCATGGGAGGTCACTTGGGAAGCAGTCTCACCCTTCTCAGCTCGGGAGGGGTCGACGTCCAACGACGACCCACCAGGTGGGCAGCCGCTCGAACTGAACCTCGACCAGGTGCCCGACACCGAAGGCGACAATGAACATGTAGGGGCCGAGCTGCTCGAAGTAGGCGGGTTTGCCCCTCGACCACACGTGGTCCCGCCTGAGCCGAGGGACTGGTGGGGGCTAAAGGCTCGACGGCGCAGACGCCGCCGCCGCCCTCGCAGTCGCCAGCATCTCCGTCGCCTCCTCCTCGAGCTTGGACTTGAGGGCCTCGAATCTCAGCACCTCGACCGAGTCCGTGGACGGCCCACTGCATGACGCCGCAGCGGCCCCAGGCACCGCCGCGCCCGCAGCCGCGACGTCCCCGTCGTCACCACCGCCGCCAGCGCCAGGAGCCCCAGCTGGGCCCACAGCCCCCGCAGCAGCCGTGGGCGCCGCGGCTACTGCCGCCCCGCCCGCAGGCCCAGCCGCGCTCGCCGAGGCACCTCCCGCCGCAGCCGCCTGGGCGGAGGAGGAGGAGGAGGAGGAGGAGGAGGAGGAGGAGGAGGAGGAGGAGGAGGAGGAGGACAGTCGCCGGATGTCACTTCTCTGCTTGCTTCTCCCTGTGTTCCCGAGACACAGTCCCAAGAAACTCGGGACCTTGTTCTGACACCGCAGATTTGAACGCTGCGTCGAGCAACTGTCGAAGACCTGAGGCTGCCCCCACGAGCGGGGGCAGTGACAGTCTGGGGTCCGCGAGCTGCCTGGACACAGTCCTAGCATGCCCCGGATGGGTCGCAGAGCGGTCCTTGTAGATTTTGGTGGTGTTGAATTTGATGAGTACGGGTTGTACAAGCTCCCGGTCGCTGGTCCTGGCGGATGGCTTGTGCAGCCCGGACGGACCCTGGAGTAACGTCCCCTGCCATGGCGAAGGTGAGGAAGTGCACGACGGCGGAGATGATGAAGGCGACTGACCGAAACCGAAGGCGGCGGAGGGTGGAAGTTATTGCGGTCGACGCGACGCGAGACATGGCGACCGTGGTGGGAGCAGGGGTGGACCTGCTCCGCTACCAACTAGACATGAAGATGTAAAACGGGAAACGGTGTTTTGTTCGTAAGCGGATGAATACGGCGGTTTGTATAAGGCGCGAATAAGGCGGGGACGGGAGCACTGCAGGCTCCAGTGCCCCAGGGCAAAAAAAGGCAGCGGACAGGCTGGGTGAGAAGCAGGCTAGGCAGTAGGAAAGGGGACATACCTATCGCTCGAGTAGGAGGAGGAGGAGGATGAAGAGGACGAGAAGGAGGAGGAGGAGGAGGAGGAAGAGGAGAAGGAGTTGGCGGGAGCGCCTTCAATGCCTGGGTCATTGGAGGGCGCGCAGTGTTTTGTTTGAGACCCCCCTCTCGTAGATGCCCTCTTATCCCAAGAGCTAGCTTCGCACATGGCGCCCCGCGATGCGCGACTCGCGGTAATTTTGACGCCCTCGCGACCTCGCGCCGCCCCCTTGGATAAGGGCAACCGCTCTGACCCAGACCGCGACGCGCGGTCACCTTCGCTCCCTCTGGGTGTGCCTGCTTAAAGTATTACGGGTCGCACTTGAGTCTTCCTTGACGAAGGTGTGCCTCACACTTAGCAGTTGGCCCCCCCGCTTGTGCCCTGCTTTCGGCAAATTATTATCTACACGATTGGCTTTGCTACGCATTGTCAATCTACCATACAACCGTCATTGTCACCATCATCATCATCACCATCACCATCATCATCTCCATCATCCTCATCCGCATCAACATCACTATCATGGCCATCGTCATCGTCATCGTCATCGTCATCGTCATCGTCATCATCATCATCATCATCATCATCATCATCATCATCATCATCGCAAGCTCTCGTAGGTCCCCCTGGGACCTCCCAGAAACCACTAGCCCAAAACAACAAAATGGCGTCCCTCCCACTCTTATCCCTTACTCGCTCCCTTCCTCCTCCTCCTTCTCCTCCTCCTCCTCTTCCTCCTCCTCTTCCTCCTCCTCTTCTCCTCCTCCTCATCATCATTCTCATTCCTCCGCATCGTCCTCCTCCTGCCCCCTCCTCCTCCTCCTCCTCCTCCTCCTCTTCTTCTTCGTCCTCCTTCTCCTCTTCGTCCTCATTCTCCTTCCTCCGCATCGTCCTTCTCCTCCTCCTGCTCCTCCTGCTCCTCTTCCTGCTCCTCCTCCCTCCTCCTCCTCCTCCTCCTCCTCCTCCTCCTCCTCCTCCTCCTCCTCCTCGTCCTCCTCCTCCTCCTCCTCCCCCCTCCTCCCCTCCCTGCTCTTCCTCGAACCCTTCTCCTTATGAATAAACCCTCCCTGTCGCACCCCGAGCCCGTTTCAAAGGGCGGGCCAAGCGTTTCGCCTGAGACCCCCTCATTATCTATGATCCTGAAGTTTTAAATTCGCAACGGCTTCGCGGATGGAGGGCGGTTCGTTTTCAAACTGTGGCACTCGCATCAGCGTGGCACGCATCCGTTTGTACAATTTGCAGGGGGGTCACGGATGGATTGCGGGTGGTTTTCAACATATAGCTCTCGCCTTTGCGCCGCGCTCATCCGTCTTAAACAGTTCAACAATTTCACGGATGGAGGCGGGTGGTTTTCTACATGTGGTTCTGGCCGTAGCGCCGCACACATCCGTTCTAAGTAGCTGCAAGGGTGCCACGAATGGGGGACGGGTCGTTCTCGAAATGTTGCTCTCGCCTCAGCTCCGCGCACATTCGTCTTAAACAATTGCGAGAGCCCCACGAATTTAGGTCGGCTCGTTTTTGATGTTTTCTTTTTTTGGTGTGGCTCTCGCCTTAGCGCCGAACATAGCCGTTCCCAAGATTTACAACAAGTTCAAATATTATGGTGGTTCACGTCCCGGAAATGGTGTTCTGTCGCGATGTCGGAGCGCCAGGGCGCAACATCTGCGTTGATTTGTAGTATTGCAAACCCAAGAACGGCGTTCTGGCGCGATTTAAGATCGTCCAGACGCAACAGTAACGGTGATTTGCGGCGCTGGGATCCCAGGAATGGTGTTCTGGAGTTCAGGGTTTTCAAATGGTTCTTTTCTGATGGGGCACTTCTCTCATTGAAAATGTATCCTTGCAGGGGCCTGTAAAGAGGGAACTTGGACGAAGGGTGCATTGCTACTCATCCTCCTCATCCTCCTCCTCATCCTGCCTCCCTTCCCCCTGCCCTCCTTCCCGCCCCCCCCCCCACCCCGCCCCCTTCCTCCACTGCCACTCCTCGCTCTGGTTGGCGTCGCCCGAGACCTTGGAGCCCGCGTCCTTCTGCTCCGCCGCCTCCGCGGCCTCCTTCTCCTCTCGGCCAAGGAGGCGGTCGGTGGTGGTGGCGGGGAGGAGGAAGAGGAGGGGGGGGAACGGGGAGAAGGAGGAGGAGGAGGAAGAGGAGGGAGGAGGAGGGAGGAGGAGCAGGAGGAGGGAAGAGGAGGACGAAGAGAGAAACAGGAGAACCAGCGCGCCGTCCCAAGCCTTGTTCTTCACTTCCCCACAAGGTTTTTGTTACTGCGCGAAGCGCACCCCTTGGAAAGACGAGCGGCTCACGGGCCCGCAAGTCATGCGGGAACTCCGTTTTGAAAGGAACGACCCTCCTTCCGTCGAGCTACATGAAGAAGCTCGGCAATGCGGGGTAAGGAAACCCGAGGAAGTGCCCAACGGCAGCCCCGCTCGGACAAGGAAACACCGTGTGACAGTTTTCATTTTGTAACACATATCCAATGAGATCCCCATGCTGGAACAACAAAGTCCCCCACCCGTGTACGTGGTGCACACACTCATCAGTGTGGTGATGCGTTTGAAGCCCCAGGCGAGAGCCTCATCCTCAAAACAAACGCCCTCCATCTTAAGTGCTGGATTTGTTTAAATCGAATGCGCGTGACGCGAAAGCGAAAGGTCCATGTCGAAAACTGCCTGTCCTCCGTCCGCCCGTGCACGTAACTGCAAGAACTGGTTTGAGCGAAAGCGCGCGGCGCCACGCGAGAGCCCCAGTTAGAAACCAACCCGCCCTCCATCAGAGAAACACTTGGAACTGGTTTGACAAGGATGTGCGCGGCGCCAAGCAAATTTTAGAACGACCCGCCCACCATCCCGTGTTGCGGCGAGAAATATCAAGCTCCACGCTCGCACGCGGTGTCGGAATATTAAGCGAAACGCCCAGCCCACCCGAATGACCTGTGTAATCATGGGGTGGGTGGCCGTGGAAGGCTGGGGGGGATGGGAGCTGGAGGAAACAAGAGCGGCAAACATGGGGTTGCGAAGGTGAGGGGAGCAGGCCACCCCAAAGACGCACCACGTGACGGCTCGACACGAGGATTGATGGCCCTGTGGGTGGTGGCATGCCTGGCAGTGCTCGCCGATGACATGAGGTAGAGCCAGGGGGTGCGTCCAAGGCCATGTGCATCGCGCGCTGCGAAACATGATGATGCCGGGGATGATCTACGATGATCAATGTGATGATGGTGGTGGTGCGTGCGCTCGTGACAACAGCTCTGTTCTTTGCTCGGCTGGCTCTCCAAGGGCCAACTACCGTCGCGCACCTTGGCTGGTGGACAGACTGAACTCAAAATGCTGCGCTCAGCGCGTCTGCAAGCCGTTGAGGGGCGGGAAACTGGCAAGAGCTGTGGGCAAAGGACAACGCGGGGAAGGGGCTTGCGGGGGGGCGGCATGTGGAAACAACTGCTGGGCTGGGCAAAAGATGGCACAACACGCACATCTCCCGCCAACATCAGGGTAGACTGCAAGCATCCCGCTACCATTTTCTCGGCTAGATGGTCATGACTGACGTTCTTGAGTGGTCGTGAATGGTGATAATTGGTAGCACTTGGCAGGAGCCGACGCGCATCGAGCGCATCGTCTTGTCTTGGGCCGACATGCCGCCGCCTCCGACGTGCAGAACCTGTGACTCGGCGGTCGATCAAACAACCTTTGCGTGAGCGTTGTCGGGGCCAAGCGTCCGAAGGGCGGACCAGGATACCCCCCACAGGGTAATTCAAGGGCGGCCTTATTCCATCTTCCCTCTCACTCCCCCTAGCCGTCCTATTCGGACCCTGGGGCGGGGGGCATTTACATGATCGGGATACTGGGCTGTCCTCTAAATCCAGACCCGATCAGGTTGCCCACGTGCGCATGTGGGTCATCGTACTCTCGCAAGCGTGCTTTCCTATCATCCTGGAAGCGCCACATGCGGCACCACATACGCGTACTGTCGAGACTATGTCCCAACTCGCCTGGTGCGTAGGGAACTCACGCACCCCTGAGACACGTCGGGGCATCGCCTTCGCCGGCCGTGTCTCAGGCAGCTGATGAACGAGACGCCCCGTCAAGAAGCCGATCAATGGTGGCAACGAAGTGGTAGAGGTGATGGAGATGATGCAAGTCAAGATGATGCCCTGACAACAGCCGCCGTCGCGCAAGATGGCTGGCGGACAGCTTGAGTTCGAAAAACAACGCTCGGCGTCTTAAAATCGTAGAGTGGTGGGAGTTGGCAGGAGGTGTGGATAGGGATCAATCAACAACGAATCTGGAAATCTTATCGAATCGGAATGTGCGTCGGATCGGGCTGCATCGGCACGAAATCAAAATCGATTCGGAGCGGCCGCGCCAGCTTGCACAAACAGCGCCGTGCAAACATCGGGACGTATCGGATCAACTTGATATCGGGATCGAATCGGATCGGGCAAGGCGCAACCAATATCGAATCGGATTGATCGGATCGACATGGACCCTTCGGGCTGGGCGCTGGGAGAAGAGGATGCGGAGGGCAAGAGACGACACAAGATGCAACTCTTCTCCTCTGCGAGGTCGCCCACGAGTTCATGCAGATGGCAAACGTTCCACTAGCGTCGCATCGGCTAGCCAAAAACGGCCGCCCCACTGCTGGCTTGTTAATACAGGTCAGCAAGACTGACGCCCTTCCCAATACATGTCAATAATGTCAGCAAGGTCGGTGCCGTTGTTGTATCCAACGCAGCTCGAAATCCAGAGCTCGTGCGACAGGGCATCGCCCAAGCGCTCCGCAAAAACATGGTCGCAGAGTAAGGGAACCAGGCCCCGGCGCGCGCGCGGGAACACATCCGAAAGAAACAACACACTAGCATGTATCCATACATACGTGCAGACATACACACATGCATACATACATGCATACATCTACATGCATGAATGCGTGCCTACATACATACATACATACATACATGCATGTATGCATGCATGCATGCATGCATGCATGCATGCATGCATGCATGCATGCATACATACATACATACATACATACATACATACATATATCCATCCATCCATCCATCCATCCATCCATCCATCCATCCATGCATGCATGCATACATACATTCATACATACATACATACACATATACATACATACATACATACATACATACATACATACATACATACATACATACACACACATACATACATACACACCTACATACATACATACATACATACATACATACATACATACATACATACATACATACATACATACATACCAACATACATACATACATACATACATACACACATACCGACATACATACATACATACATACATACATACACACATACATACATACATACATACATACATACATACACACACATACATACATACATACATACATACATACATACACACATACATACATACACACACCCTGGCACACATACCTACCTACATACATACATGCAGGCATTCATTCGCACATACATGCCTGCATACATACATACACACATACATGCATAACATATACAAACGCAGATTTCTAAGTGTTGACGCTTCTATATGATGCGGAAAGCGTGCCGAAGAGAGTGGCCGACCCACAACGCACGCTGCCACACAAGAAGGCTTGAAACAGAACTCCCAAGGGCTTCGGCAAGGTCAGTGAACTCATGGGCTGGGGTTGCGCGGGTCACAGCAGACGGGTGGGAATACACTGAGCAGACATGGGCAACGATGAATCTTGCAACGCACCCTTCACCACTCACCCTCATTACAATCTAAGACAAACCATGAGAGCTCCTTTTTCAGTGCAGACGCTTCTATATGATGCGGAAGGCGTGCCGAGGAGAGTGGCCGACCCACAACGCACGCTGCCATACAATAAGGTTTGAACAACGACCCCCGGAAACATTATATGTCCCGCGCCCATCTTATGCTCTACGAGGACACTGACCCTTGCCTTTCGAGGAGGCCCGAAACACTTCAGCCAATTGTTTACAGAGAGGGCGTGGATACGGCTGCGCGATGAAAGTCCATAGCATGCCACTGGGGGTTTTCCCCGAGAGCTCGAGGCGGGGGGGCCGTGAGCGCGAACACATGCCGTGTCCTTTTTATATATGTATGGAGTGAGGCTAGAAGGAACCTCCTCAGGCACATGACACATCATCAACTTGGTCCCTTTTTTTCCAACGGGTCCCAAAGTGGCAGAAGTCAATGGCAGGAAAACTCACAGAGCGATTGAAACAAAGTGCTTTCACCTCATGAAGGATCCAAACAATGGAAGTCAAAAGGGCTCTCCATGATACATTGGATACGCTCTTGCAGGCACAATTTAAAAACTTTCAGTGAGAAAAGGGTTAGGACGTTGACAAGATGCACTTTCTCCTGATCTCCTGGAGACAGTCCTGGCAGGCCCCGCGGATGCTCATTCGAGCGCAGAGGGCCTGGGCGACCACGGCGGGCACGATTCAACGACTGGCACGGTGTGGCGACCATCGCTGCGCTCGCATTCGAGCGGATTCGATTCAACACTTGTTGCTGTATTTCAGGTCTCGTCAGATCATGCTCAGCCCCATGCGCACTATCAGTCACAGTGGCAACACCGCCAAGTCTCAGCGCTTCTTTTGAGACACCTCCACAGCCCGCGTAGATGTCCTCAAATTTCCAAACCGCGGCGCTGCGGGCGGCGCGGGCGGCAGCCTTCCGTCCAATAACAATCCTTTTCAGGTTCTTCTCGCACCAGAGGCAATTCTCCTGGAAGCCGGCCGGCGAAGGGCTTTCGCCACTGAGCCTACGCGCGACCTCCTATTTCGCATCTGGCGACGCTCTCGCGGCCGCCCCACCTTGCCCGCTTCTGAATATCGCCCGAGGTGCGGCGGAGGCGGAGGCGGTCCCGCGAGGCGCCACTGTGCCTGAGCTGGCACGGCACCAGCTCGGGCAGGCCTAGCATCACTACCGCCATCATGAACTGCTTCAGGTACGTCGCGCATGCGAAGCTGAACACCGCCTCGTCTCCCGTCTTGCCTCGCACGAACTGGCGCGGCAGCTGCGTGGTCCAGGTCCCCCCCTTGTCCCAGAGAGCGGCGGCGTCGTGCAAGCCGACCTTGATTGGGCGCGACCCCTCGAACGGTTTGATTACGATGGTTCTGATTAAGATGGTCCAGAACGGCCCGACGTTGGTCGCGGGCGGGGTGATCCACTTCGCTTTCAGGTCGCGAATCTCGCCTGGCCTTCCGTAGGTCACCAGCGACACCACGACCTCGAAGGCCATCGCGCGGCAGCCCACCCTCAGCAGCTCGCCCATCACCGCCGCCCATGCAGGCCGCGCCTCGGGCAGGCGCGACTGCCCAGGAGCCGGGCGGCCCCGGCCCTGGAGGGCACGGTGGGCACGCGGCAGCTTCGCGGGCCCGCAGCGACCGTGCTCCGGGAACAGCCCCTCGATGGTCGCCAGCAGGAGGTGGCCTGCGCTGCCGCCCCAGCCCTCGAAGAACTTCTCGTCGGACACCTCGATCAGCGCGCGGTCGAGCTCCCCCGGGGGGCCCAGCGAGGGGCCGAGCCTGCCGCAGTCGCCCGCGAACGACTGGCACGTCTCCTGGTAGAGCTGGTCGGCCTGATCGGACACGGCCTTGCCCTCGAAGAATGAGCGGCCTCGGGTGCCGACCTCCGTTGAGTAGCGATCCTGCCTCAAGAGTCTTAAGAGGCTCGCCGTCACTCTCCTCGCCTTCGGTGGCGGCGCCAGCGGCAAGCTCAGAGGCGGCCTCGACGGCGTCCTCGGCGGGCGTCGCAGCCTCTGGGGCGCCCTCACCTTTTTTACCGTCGAGCGCACGTTCGCCGCCAGCTGCCTCTCCCCGTGGCGGCCCGTCGCCACTGCCGCCAGCGCGGCAGCCTGGGGGGCCCCCATCTGGCCCTTGCGGCGGTCGCGCCAAGCTCATCACCCGCCCGAGGTCGCTTCGAAAAGGGCTCGAAGCGTCGGGGGGGGGCCCGTCAGCCGGGCTGAGCTCAGAAGGGGGCCAGCGAACGTGGCAGCGGACACCGATGGCCAGGCACATTGCACACCACCGACGGCAACACATATTTACTAGAACCACGCGCGCGCTTCGCGCGCGCTTAGGTTCTGTCGAGTCACAGACCCAGGAATCGTTGTGAGAAGAAATTGGTGACGCGAAGCGTCGTGGGGGCGTCCTTGGACGTCTGGGGTCTCCTGGGGCCTCTTGAGGGGCCTCCTGGGGGCCCCCTGGCGGCCTCTTGGGGCGGAAGGCTCGAGCTTGCGGTTCGTGGTCCCCCTCTGGGCCCCCTCTTGGGCCCGTCTTGGGGCCCTCTTGGGCCATCTTGGGCGCCTCTTGGGCCGTCTTGGGGCCCTCTTGGGCTGTCCTGGGGCCCTCTTGGAAGCTTCTTGGGCCGTCTTGGGGCGGTCTTGGGCGCCTCTTGGGCCGTCCTGTAACGTCGGAAAGCCCAAAAGACAACTTTGTTGAAATGTACGTTTTACGAAGGGAATGGGCCAACTTTTGCGTCTAGGGGCCCTCTTGGGACGCATGTTGGAGGCTTCTTGGGGCGTCTTGGGGGCGTCCTTGGACGTCTGGGGTCTCCTGGGGCCTCTTGAGGGGCCTCCTGGGGGCCTCCTGGCGGCCTCTTGGGGCGGAAGGCTCGAGCTTGCGGTTCGTGGTCCCCCTCTGGGCCCCCTCTTGGGCCCGTCTTGGGGCCCTCTTGGGCCATCTTAGGCGCCTCTTGGGCCGTCTTGGGGCCCTATTGGGCTGTCCTGGGGCCCTCTTGGAAGCTTCTTGGGCCGTTTTGGGGCGGTCTTGGGCGCCTCTTGGGCCGTCCTGTAACGTCGGAAAACCCAAAAGACAACTTTGTTGAAAATGTACGTTTTACGAAGGGAATGGGCCAACTTTTGCGTCTAGGGGCCCTCTTGGGACGCATGTTGGAGGCTTCTTGGGGCCTCTTGGGGGCGTCCTTGGACGTCTGGGGTCTCCTGGGGCCTCTTGAGGGGCCTCCTGGGGGCCTCCTGGCGGCCTCTTGGGGCGGAAGGCTCGAGCTTGCGGTTCGTGGTCCCCCTCTGGGCCCCCTCTTGGGCCCGTCTTGGGGCCCTCTTGGGCCATCTTGGGCGCCTCTTGGGCCGTCTTGGGGCCCTCTTGGGCTGTCCTGGGGCCCTCTTGGAAGCTTCTTGGGCCGTCTTGGGGCGGTCTTGGGCGCCTCTTGGGCCGTCCTGTAACGTCGGAAAGCCCAAAAGACAACTTTGTTGAAAATGTACGTTTTACGAAGGGAATGGGCCAATTTTGCGTCTAGGGGCCCTCTTGGGACGCATGTTGGAGGCTTCTTGGGGCCTCTTGGGGGCGTCCTTGGACGTCTGGGGTCTCCTGGGGCCTCTTGAGGGGCCTCCTGGGGGCCTCCTGGCGGCCTCTTGGGGCGGAAGGCTCGAGCTTGCGGTTCGTGGTCCCCCTCTGGGCCCCCTCTTGGGCCCGTCTTGGGGCCCTCTTGGGCCATCTTGGGCGCCTCTTGGGCCGTCTTGGGGCCCTCTTGGGCTGTCCTGGGGCCCTCTTGGAAGCTTCTTGGGCCGTCTTGGGGCGGTCTTGGGCGCCTCTTGGGCCGTCCTGTAACGTCGGAAAGCCCAAAAAGCAACTTTGTTGAAAAATGTACGTTTTACGAAGGGAATGGGCCAATTTTTGCGTCTAGGGGCCCTCTTGGGACGCATGTTGGAGGCTTCTTGGGGCCTCTTGGGGGCGTCCTTGGACGTCTGGAGGCCATCTTCAGCATCTCGGAGCCCTCTTGGAGGCCTCTTGGAAGTTTCTTGGGCCGTCTTGGGCGCTCCTGGGGCCGTCTTGTCTGACCGGGGAGGCCTCCGGCAAGCCCCGACGAGCCTCCGGGCCCCCCGGGGCGCACATTTGTGGTCGAGGTCCCGGCCCCGGGCCCCTGGACCCGGTGCGCCGTTATATGTATACTTTGCAGTCGCAAGCTCTTCCCATCGCGAAAACCAGAACCTGCCCAAGATTATCTCCCAGAAAGAAGGCGTGTCGGCTCCCGAATCCAGGGCGCTTGGCGCGCCTCCTCAGGGCCCAGATCACCCCCATGGCCTCCAGGATGTGGGTGGCCCCCTTCCGAAAGAACTGCCCAGCGCACACAAACCTCCATGCGCTATCGTGGATCCAGTCGGGGCTGATGACGGGGAACTCGGGGCCCCCCTCCTCCCAGAACTCGCCGGGCTCGTTGGCCCCCTGCCCTCTCGGGGGCGGAGATAGTCATCGGGTCGTTCAAGGCATGGCGGTCACCTGCGAGAGCACGGGCGCGACGATAATTATCTTGACCGGCGCGAAACCTCAACCTCTCACCGATGCGCCCAGCCTCATTTACTTTTTGGTCACTCCACTGCGCCTCGACCACTTCCCACCCAGGCGGACAGGCGTCGGTGGCCACGACTTGCCCATGCCAGGGCAATCTCCACTTGGCATAGGCGAAGGGCTGTAGAGGACGGGCCGCGCTGAGCTTGCCACGGACAGAGGACCAAAGGTCCAGTGTCTCTGGCCCCGCCGTGCGAATAAACTGATAAGTGGTCGACAACACAGACAATGGCGGTCGGCGAAGCATGAAGATGAACGCAAGAGGGCCAACCGTCGACTCAAGCTGGTGCCCCGTCGCAACACCGCGGTCGAGCAACCGTGTCAGCGCGCCGCCGAGCTTCCACGTGCGGTCGAGCGAGGTGGCAGCGAGCCCAGAGTGACCATGGATGCTTACACCCAACACCACAGTCTCCTGACATACCTCAACGTGCTCATGCGTTGCCAGCCCCCCGAGCGTCTGCAAACGACGAGACGCTGGCGCGCCCGTGGCCGCCTCCACCTGGTGGGCGATGGCAGCCTGCAAAGTACAGCGACCACTTGAAGCCCATCGGGAGCACAGCGAAGCACGGATGCACTTATCGGTCTCCCGTCAGCCGCTCACCTTCGGCAGCGCGAAGGTCGACCTCCTCCGCGCGGAGGGGGGGCAGGCCGAAGTACCTGCTCAGCTCGACATCGATCTTGAAACGGTAAAACGCGCCCCGCACGCCCCCGGTGCTGACGAACACCTGCACGTCGTCATCGACTTCGATCATGCCCAAGGACTCGGCGGCAACCAGTTGACCCCTGGGCGGATCACGAAACCGACGATTCCAGCGGCGGGCGTCCACCACCAACCACTGCTTCGCAGACACCTTCTTCGCGTAAAAGACGGTGGTGCGCTCCTTCGCCGAAGGGCACCATCGCACTGCCCCCGGTTTCTCCAGGCGCTTGACGAAACGGATGTAAGCCTCGTGATCATCTGACAAGCTGCTGCCCATGTAAGGCGCGATAGGATCCGCGTTGTCGAGCACCTCCCAATACTCGAGGTCAGATCTGACCAAGCGCTGCTCGAAATCTACCAGCACATCGGCAGCGTCGGGCGGCGCGACGCCCAGGTTGTCAGGGCAGTCCACGCAAGACGTCGGAACCGAGAGAAGCTCTTCCTGGTAGTCGACCACCACGTGCTCATCCGAGTCGCACCCGGCTCGGGAACGCAGTAGCGCGCGGCTTCGCGCGGGGGAGGCACTGCAGCATCCGCTTGAGACGCAGGCATGACGCCCCTAACGCGCTGGGTGGCCTCGGACTGCGCCAGCGAGGGGGCCGCCGGAGGCGCCGCGTCCGACCCGCGCCCGCTCAGCCAATTCAGCGCGCTGATGGCCCCGTTCGCGCGGATGGCCGCGCTCCTCCGTCGAGCAACTCGCTGCCGCGCTCCTCGGTTTAGCCCAGCGCGGCAGGGCCCCTCCCCCACCAGCTTCGGCGGCGGCAAGAGCTCGAGGGCCATTGCTGCAGCCAAAAGGGGCTCATCGTAGCCGAGGACAGCAAAACTCGCGCCAGGTGCTACCCTTATGAGGAAGATGCGGCCAGCGGCGGGGCCCCCGCCAGCCGCTGCTCGGCCCCTTGGCTTGTCCGCGCCTCCAGCCATGGCGCCTGCCTTCGCAGCTCCCTTGGGGCGAGCTGTCGAGGCACGGACGTCGAGGGCCTTCTGGCGCTGCTTCTCGATCGCCGCCTTCTCCTTCGTGCGACTGGCCACGCGTGCCGTCGGGGCCCGGGCGATCCCGGCTGCGCGCTGCTGGTCGCCAGGCCACAGCTCCTCATCCTCGGAAAGCCCCTCCCCAGGATCACGGGAGGCAGCATCAAGCAACAACTGCATCCGCCTGGCCAGCACCTCGAACGACGCCAGCAGGTCATAGCATCCCGCCGCCTCCAGCAAGCGACACATGGCCTGCAGCTCATAAGTCAGGCGGTCCGTCGGCGAGATACTATTCTCCACCAAGTACTTCTGGTACCACATCAATGGAGAGCCGCCCGTCCTCTCGATGTTCTCGGCGATCCACAGCATGGTCCTCGGGCCCTCGACGGGCCAGTCTTCGTAGAAACTCTCGTGCATCTTGGACACCGCCTCCTTCCAGCTGCGCAAGCGCTCCCCGTGATCGTCGTACTGCGCAGCAAGGGCACGGGCATCCTCCGACTGGTCACCAAGAGCGATCGCAGCATCGGGCGCTTCTCCTCGGGCAATGGCCATGATCGTTTTCCAGCGCACGGCTGCGAAGACCGATGCGGTGTCCGCGGCGACCCGGTTAGAGGACCACCACCTCGCCTGCGGGTCGGCGGCCTGCAAAAGACGCCCCAAAACAGTCCACCAGCATGCGGTCGCCAAGCCTGCTCCAACTGCGCTCACTGTTGATGTGGCAGCCGCGAACTCCGTGCCAATCGGGAAGCTCTGAAACGGCTCGCCCACTAGCCAGACGAAACCCGCCTCGTGCTCCACAAGGCGGGGGGTGTCGGTGCCGAGGGAGGCTGGGGGCGCCGCCGCCATCGGCAGGGGCGGGACGGGCCCGGAGTCACCTCCGCCTCCAGGCCCGTCAGC